AAGTCAGGTATCCTACAAAAGAAGCTTTGGAGTTAGACCTGAGAGACTCTCTGGCCACTTCTGGGCTTTGTCAAGGAGAAAAATACAAAACACCCATTCCTGTAGTTATGATACTGTTCTTTGTTTCATTCAATAATTTCACTAGCACTTATCTATCAAATACTGAACATCATATAGCACCTAGTTCAGCTTCTAGCACATTAGGGGAACTCCAAAAATGTTATTGTTAGTGTTAGTAAATTAGATTCTATAAAAGAACTCCACAGTCTAGTCAAACTTTTATATGGATACCAGTATTTGCCAATTTGCCAACATTCTGCTGATACCACAAATATAAAAATGTAGGTCCTTAGGATGGCAATGTGGCTCAATGGTAGAGCAGCACCTAGCATGCCACAGGCCTTGGGTTCAAATCCCAGCACCACCAGAGAGAGAGAGAGAAAGAGAGAAGAAACAGGCCCTGTTCTCAAGGAACTTACAACAGTAGGTCAATCAGAATTAGGTAATTATAAAACAGTATAAAAATGCAACAGCCCTGGTGCAAGTGGCTCAGGCTTATAATCCTACCTATTGAGGAAGCAGAGATAAGGAGGATCCCAGTTCTAAGCTAGCCCGGGCAAATGGTTCTAGAGACCCTATCTTGATAAAAGCCATCACAAAACAGAGCTGGTGGAGTGGCTTAAGTGACAGAGCACCTGCCTTGCAAGTGTGAAGTCCTGAGTTCAAACCCAAGTACTGTCAAAAAAAAGCAACAGCAAAAACATACACAGAGTGTGCAAAGACACACAGGAATGGCTGGGGTGGAAAGTAGGGAAAAAGTCAGGAGCTAATTCTCAGAAGGTGGAGGGAAGCCTCCCTTATTTGGGGCAGCATCCACTCATTTCCATTCAGAAATTTCAAAGGGGGAAAAAGAAAACAGAACAGGGATCAGTAACTTCAAGCTGGCACAGAAACGTTTTAAGTATTCTTTCACTCCCCAACAAATGTATAAAAATTGACATCACCTTTTTCCAAATCTTTCTAACACTCTGATAAAGACTGTGTTTTACAAGTTACACAACTAATTATCAAAACCATCAATCCAGCATGCAATTTCTTCTCCACCAGTCAAATGTTGTCTGCCTAGTTATTCTGCTTATTCCAACTGGGCAAACAAGGTATTCAAAACCTTGAATGCAATATAAAGTTCAGCAAATTTTCACAGATTTACTCAATAAATACCAATACTGACATTTAGAAAACTGAAGATGTGGATCCTGCTGATAATACAAATCTTTGTGGGAGAGTCATAAATCCAGCAAACTACAAGTATAAATGAAAGTCAATGGGAACAGAGAGCATCCTTTCAAGGGTAGCTCACTTGATACTACAATCCTGTGAAATAACAGGATTACCTCCATTTTCACCAATTTGCTCAATTAACAAGTCAGTATATATAATAACCCAGATCTTCTGATTCTTGATTGTATCACTCTAAAATGTATATTAAATTTATCACTACCATAAGTGAAATCATAAGAAGCACTTCAAAGACTCTAAATATACACACAGGAAGGAAGCTTAACAGTTTCCTCACATATAAAATAAGGTTGGAGTAGGTCACAGATGGCACCACAGGAACTAACCTCCAGTGCCAGTCTCTGGGCCCATGTGCCAAATTATCATTAATAAATTATGTTATTCCTTCCCAAATTATCATTAATAAATTGTGTTATTCCTTCCCATCAAGCCCACAAATGCCATCAACAAGGTAACCACCACCAAGTGGAAAAGGTAAGCGAAGCGTAACCTTTTTGACCTCCTTGATTAAATAAGGTCCAGAGGACAAGCAAACTGCCCAAAACTTTACCCAACCAGCCTAAAATAGGAGGCCTCAAAAGAGAGCAGTGATGTAACTATATAATGCTCACAAGCACACAAAGCAGCTTCTATTATCATTTGATCCTCACCACCTAGTAAAGAACTGGCTCTATCTTTACTTTTCAAAAATGTATCAGTGAAACTATGTGCTTAGTAAGTGGCTTGGACAAGCCCTCACAACCCCACTATGCCTCTTCACAAGAGAAAGTCAGAGCAACCTTAGACTATTTAACATAGATGCAAGAATGCCAATCCAAAATTGTCTGAGCTATTTCTAACCATTAGACTAAGACAAGGTCTTCTTTCTGTAAAAAATTAAAAATTTCGAGTAATTCACCAACTAATGTTAAAAGATGAAATCATTTAAAAGGCATACACACTGTCTTGTGTACACACCACACATACACCTTTCAGTCAAAAAGCATCTTATACTCTTGAAACATTACATAAATGAAAAATGGGATAAGACCAAAAACTTCAATGGAATACTAAAAGTACCAGTTTTTTTTGTCTCAACTCTCTCACTATCCTATGTAAGTAACAGACTTTTTCATTTTTTAATGTTCATCTTTAAGAAAAATATTATCAAGCAAAACTACATATAGCCTTCCCCCCCCCCCCTGGGTAGGACTGGAGTTTGAACTCAAAGACTTTGCTCTTGCAAAGCAGACGCTCTACTGCTTGAGCCACACCTTCAGTCCATTTTGCTCCCGGTTAGTTTTGGAGATGGGGTCTCTTGACCTATACTCCCAGGCTGGCCTTAAACCTCAATCCTCCTGATGTCAGCCTCCCAAGTAGCTAGGATTGTAGGCGTGAGCCACATTTTACGTATGCAGAGTGCCTTATAACTGCTTCAGGAATGTTAAGTGTTATTCAGTTCCCTTTGAGTAAGACTGCATCATATCTCAGCAAGCACGCTGGTCCTGAAATTAGTCTTCTGAGAGATGTTACCACAAATACTTATGCTGTAACAATTCATCACTTCCTTTTGTCAGAGTTCTGACCAACTTGTGGACGGCCTTAGGAACACGAGGACTATCCTTCACATAACTAAAAATGACTGTATTTAAAGGCTAACATTTATGTCCTACAGTACTTGAAAGCACCGTGGAACTAGTCAATAGTAATGAAAAGCCCTTGCTTAAGCACCAAAATATCCCAAAGACTGCTATCAGCAGGAGAATCTTTTACCTCACACCACACCATCCCACTTTTACAGAATCTAGGCAGACCCAAGTTGCACAAACCACCTGCCAAGTCATCCAGTGCCTTTCAAAGTGAAAAACTGATCCTTTTTCTGCTCTTAAATTATTCAAAAGTAGCCTACAAAGAATTACCAGGGACTGCTTAAGCAAACTTTTTAGACACAGGTATTGTGTTTTGCATTTATACTACTAGAAAAACAGCAGTGTGATTCGCCCCCTCCACACTTAAGGAACAGAGAGAGAAAATAGAAGTTACATTTTACTAGAAAAGGAACTTTTAAACTGAAGACATAATTTATCTGAGACAGACTGACATCGTACATGACAGTGATTAAACTTTTCTGAGACCCCAAACTTTAATTTTCCCCCTTCCCAATCTCTGAACTAGACTTTAATGACTGTATTTTTAAATACTGCATTTCCATTGTTTAACATTTTCAATGTTAAGATAAATCTAGCCAAGTTTAAGAAAAACCGTTAACTTCTGATCTGCAAGACCACTACAGCATTAAATCTCTAAAGCAGAAATCAACAATGTATAGCATTATAAGACAAAACATTATGTATATTTCATTAGCTTCTGAATTTTCAAAGACATCGGTAGATTGATTTAAAAAAAAAAAGTACAAACATACAACTGAAGTTTCTGAAGCTGTATTTTACAAAGGATTAATTATGGTGTCTGGCTTGTATGCATAATTATTTCTCTTAAACTGATCCGTTACATTTGAAAATAACGTGTGAAATCACCAAGGAAAAGGAGTCACACTTGGACTGCATTAAACAAAATTTTAAGGCCATCATAAATACAGGTCTGTAACCGGGAATCAAATTAGAAATAATTCAAATGCACAGTAAGCTTCCGTATAGCAAAAAATACATTAAAAAGCAAAATGGGATTGCTTTTAACTCTGATAAGGAAAAAACATGAAACAAGTTTAGAATGGGAATTCCTTAAATTGAGGAAGAATTCAGATGACATGACATTTTCTTGCCAAAGGGGAGGAATCCGTGGATTATACCATTCAAATCTCGTTGTATTATTACGTTATAAAGGTCTTGGCAACGGTTAGCCATTAATCTTTAACACAAAGGAGACTCAAATCCAAACGAACTGTAAGACTATCTCTTCCCGGAGAGGGAAAGCCAGCAGCTGACTTTATCCACGATTGTTTAACCTAAAGGCAAGGCCTTCGGGGATGATAAGGCAGAACGGACCGGCTTCGGTCTACCAGGTCCCATTTCTCACCAAGTCTTGCACCAATCCGAACAGAGAGGGTTATGGACACAGACCGGGCTTAGGGAAGGCTGGGGGGACTCCGAGGAATGACACGCCGCATCGTGGTTGGCTCTCCTACACAATTGGAGCAGCGGAGACGACACGCATCACCCCATATGCTTCTTCGTGTCCACTCCCCGCTTTCCGGGGAGCTGAACCCCCTTTGCCTCCGTCGTATCGACCCGAGGACAGGGCGGCTGCGGCAATGCGCACGCCGCGCTCCCGCCACCGCGCGCCCGGACCGGGGACCCCCGCCCGCCCGCCCCGCCGCGCGCGCCCCCCGCCCCCCAGAGCGCACCTGGCCGGGCCCCGGGCCCCGGGCCTCCCACCAAACTTTTCCTCCCCGGGACCCGGGCTCGAGGCCCGGCGCGGACCCCGGCGACGCGGGAAATACCTGCCGGTCTGCAGCCCGCGCTCCTCCTCGCCCGCGGCCCTCCCCATCGCCCGCTCCACGAGCCCGCGGACGGCGCCCGCGCGGGTTCGAGCCCGGGGAGCCCGGGGTGGGGGGTGGCAGGCAGGACGCACGAGACGGCGGGGACCGCAGGTCGGGAGGGGACACCGCAGGGACAAAGGCAGGCCGGGCGCCGGCTGGCTGGCGTGGCCCCGCGGCGGGTCGGGCTCCGCGGCACAATGGCCGGCGCCCGCGCGCCCCTCACCTCATGGTGCCGGCGGCGCCGCGGTGACCGGCGCGGGACGCCGAGCCGAGCGAGTCTCCTCAGGGGCGCAGCGCGGCGAGGCGAAGGTCGGGCTCCACTCCGGTGGCCGCAGCTACACCATCGCCGCGCGGACCGACGCGCCGGCCGCGGCGACACGGGGACTGCGGAGGGCGCGGGGCCGCAGCGCGGGTGTCCTCGTCCTCTTCGGCCGCCCTCCAGGTGCCGCCCGCCCGCCCGCTCCCCAGGCCCGCGTCCGCCCGCCCGCCCGCCGCGCCGCCGAGGCCGAGAGGGACCCGCAGCTGCTGCAGCCGCGGGAGGAGACTCGGGAGCGCCGCGGGGCGCCGGGGGCGGGGCGCGGGGAGCGCGCAGGCGCCTCCCTCCTCCCCCGCCCTCCTCCGCCCCGCCCCTCCCGTTCTCATCCTCCCTCCTCCCCTCCCCTTCCCTCCTCGCCCCTCCCTCCTCCTCCCCGCCCCCCTCCGCCCCGCCCCTCCCGTTCTCATCCTCCTCCTCCCCTCCCCTTCCCTCCTCGCCCCTCCCTCCTCCCTCCTCCCCCGCCCCCCTCCGCCCCGCCCCTCCCGTTCTCATCCTCCCTCCTCCCCTCCCCTTCCTCCTCGCTCCCTCCTCCTCCTCCCCCCCCCCTCCCCCCGCCCCTCCCTCTCTCCTCCCTCCTCCCTCCTTCCCTCCTCGCCCTCCCTCCTCCCCTCCCTCCTCCCCCTCCTCCTCCCCTCCCCTTCCCTCCTCCTCCCCCCCTTCCCTCCGCCCTCCGCCCTCCTCCCTCTAGGGGCGAGGGGGCTGCGGGGGGAGGGAGGGCCGGGGCTGTGGGGGAGGGGCTGGGGGCGGGGCGGTGGCTCCAGCGGCCCTTTGTTGCCTGGCGCCCCGCCCCCTCCTCGCCCCCTGCGGCTCGGGCCGCCCCGCCCGCAGTCGGCGGGGTCCGGCTTCCCCTAGGCCGCGGACCTCGGAGCCCCGCGGCGGCGCGAGGAGAGGGAGGCGGGGGCCCCCGCGACCGCACCGGGGGGCAGGGGGCGTCCAGAGCGCGTCAAGGTGGTGGACCCGCGCCCCGCTCCAGCGCTCCGGGGGGGCCCGCGCAGCGCCGACGGTGGGAAGCGCTCGGCCTGGAGCGAGCGAGCCAGCGCAGCCGCCCCAGGACCGCGGGCAGCGGGAGCCGAGGGGAGACGGCCGCTGGAACCCTCTGTCGTCACCGGCAGAAAGGGAATCCCGGCCGGGGGCGGGGAGGGATGCGAGCTGGGGGAGCTCAGATGCTGCCTGTCATTCACCTCGTCTGCACATCGCCTCCTCCAAAACCTGGAGGGGAAATGCTGGCGAGGCGAGCATCGAAGTCAAATGGGGCGGGGGGTGGGGGGCGTCTAAAGCCAGAATGAATAGTTGTGGGGGCTCCAGGATCCAAGCAAATCCAGTAATTAATGAAATTTTGAACCAAATTAAAGCCCTCTGCATCCCAAGGGGGGAGAAGACTGAGATGGAAAAGGTTGCTTGCTGCTGCAGGGTTTGTGTTAACCGAGGCTCTAATCCAAAATGGAGGGCCTGCCATGACTGCAGAATCCATTCAAAAGTTTCGGGGTTCTGTTTTAAGATGGGGTACGATTCAAATGCTGGTTGTGAAGGCTGGAAAAATGTGCACTTCCCAAGGAAAAGCAAACACATTCTAGTTATCCTTGGTCAATGCCTGTCCTGTCTGCAAAAGAATGGTATAACCCAGTTTTAGCTATGAAAAGCTTCCTGTTGCAAGAGCTCAACACAGAGTTATTTTGTTTTTGAAAGCTGCAGTCCCGGACCAACAGCCCTGCAGAACCAGTGACCTGGAGCGATGGCACAGGACCAGGGTGGCCTCAGGTAGTAGAGAGCACGGTGCCTCTGCCTTAAACATGGTGTACTTGAAGAACGCTAATTTCCACCCACATATCTAATTACAGCTTGCCATCACAGAGAGCATTTTATTCAAGGATCTCCAAGGACTGGAGAGAAAACAGCCTTGCCAGTCAAGTGTCCTTGTTGCCATATTACAAGGAGAGGCAGGGAAATAGAGGGCTCAAGCAGCTGGATGCACTAGTGTAATAGATATGACTAAAAAAACAGTTACTAAAAGGGGCATTGTCTTCAAATAAATGTAGTTTAAAAAGTTTGCATGTCAAATTGAGGAACTTCTTTCTTGAAAAAAGTATAAAGACACATTGAACCATCTTGAGACAGTATTAGTAAGACATATTCAGTCACAAAGCAGTCACAGCAATTTGCCTTAGTCCATACCGACACAGTAAATCCACTTGTGTTTCAGGGAAAAATCTTACAAAGGGCCAAAAGGGGTGGAGATATTGCTGTACGGACTTAAGCTATCTCCTGCCAGAGACAAGAAACAAGGATAAAAATTCCTTACAGATGACTCCATAACCCACTTCTCATTTGTGGAAGTTAATCCGTCCTGAGCTAAATTAGTCATGTATAGCCATCACCTTTATCCTAACAGCAAATGTTCCACTGGTCCAGGCACCAAGTTAAGCAATCTGGGAGGAAAATGCTATTCTTGTTTTCTGTGTTTATTAAAAATGTACCAGCCAAGAATTTTGGCTACCTACAACCGTTTCCATCCTTTTGAATGGCAGCCCGCCAGTTCACAAGTTGGTCATACCAGTGCCTTTGAATTTAGATATTTCAATGGGTGGCCTCACCCCCAAAGGTCATTCTCTGGAAGGGCAATTTGTTGTTTATGACAACATGTTACTGCTTCTTGTTCATATTTGGTTTAACAAAGAAGACAAAAAGGAAACTTGAACTAGGAAATCACAGACCAGTTCTGGTAACAGGAAACATTGTGGAATGTGTTGCTATTAAAATAAAAGAACCTTGGAGATGGAAGGAATTGTAAGTCTGACATTCATTTTTAGAAAGAAGGATGTGAGGCTCAGAGAGGTTAATGAAGGAACTTGGCCAAGATGATTGTGCAGTGACTTTGTGGTAGAAGTGAACTTAAACCCAGGATTGCCAAATTTGGTTCATGTCTCCTTCTACCATCTCCTACTGATTTCCTATGGCATAAGTAAGAGTCCATCACAACAGAAAAATTAAAGCTGATTCTCCTCTCGTGAACCTTGCAACATTCAACCGTGGCTGAATGTTGAAAATCATTTGAAAGCCAGCAAATGGTTCATGCCTGTGATACCCTCACTTAGGGTAGGAGGATTGTGAGTTCAAGCCCAGCCTGGGTTACACAGCAAGTTTGAGGCCAATGTAGGCTATATAGCAATACTCTGCCTCAAAAAAAAAAATTGAACTCTTTTCTTACAAGGGTCATCCAGCTGGAAGCCCAATGCCTGACCCATAGGGAAGTAGATATTTCAAAAGTGAATAACTGAATAAATGAAGGAGTGAGTGAGTGAATGAATGATTGCTCTAATTTAAGATAAAGAGGAAACTATTCACCAAAAGAAATACACTGTGTGTGTGTGTGTGTGTGTGTGTGTGTGTGTGTGTGTGTGTTGGGAATCTAAACCAGGGTCTTGCTAAATCTATGCTCTACCATTGAGCTACATACCCAGCCCCAACTTTCTTCCTCACACCGAGTATATGGACCTCAACTTTCCTTCACAAAAATTTCTTACCCTAACACACTGTCTTAGTAGGAGACCCACTCCAAGTCCTCCGCATTCACAGCCAGCGTGAGGAGTTGGCCTATATAGTCTGTTAGCAAAATGCACTCAGAGAGTGGAAGAAAACATGCAGGAGCCCTGTCTGTGTAGCCCTGAGGGTTCCTTGGAACAGACCTCGTGGAAGTCAGACTGGTCTGAGGGCAGCAGTGTAGGCTTGTCCTCCATTTATGGGCATGAGGAGGGTACATGACTAATGCTGTCAGCAGTCAGGAAAGCAGAGCTATGGATGGAGCACGGTCCCCTACCACCCAATCAAATGACTCTCCCTGGACTTACTTGGGATGGATGAAGAAGGAAAGGCAATTTGGAGTGAACTTTCTGCTTGTGTTTAACAGTGTTGTGTTTTTTTGTGCTGATTAGTACACAGTGTAATTTTGTCTCCCCAAGATTGGGGAAAATATAATGTATAACATGACATTCCATAGGACTGAGGATATTTTTATTACTCATCTTTCACTCTGATCTGCCCACATGCAATCTCAGCTCTAAAACATTATCAGGAGACATTAGAGGAAACTTTTGGCCTCCCTGCCATTTGCATTTTTCTTCAGTTTGTCATTTACCTCCTTTCCAAATTAGGATTTTATTCAGTTAATTTCGTTTCTTCTTCCCCAGAGTCTTTTCTTAGCTCAACAGTGTTTAGACTTGGCAGAAGATCCCCATAGCCGGAGAGGTATTGGAGTTGCATTAATCAGTGGAGATCATATGCTATAAAATGCAATGTGTCATTTCCACACAACTCAGCCATGGCTGCCATTAAAGAATATGGCAGGACGGCTCCAATTCTAGACCATGGTGCTTTAGCAAATGATTGAAAGGAAGTATCATCATAATCTAATTCTGAACTCAGTTTATAAAATCTGGCAGGTGGCATAGACAGTGGTTGCCCTCTTTCTTGCTTCATACTGACACATCCCATTACTGTAATCACGCTTGAGAAGACCAGGCGGTTCTCTCTGACGTTGAGATAAGATGGCAGCTGGCTTTGGGGTATTGCCTCACAAGATCAGAACAGGAGTTAGTGCAGCTTATTTTTTGGCTCGCGACCACAGAAAAGAAAGCTATTGCCAATAGGATATATCCTGAACAAGCTTGCCTAAAATTAATTTACACTGCCTAACACCACCTCTTTTGTAGCTTTTATCCCACCTTTCAAGTAAATTTCAAAAGCTCATTAAAAATCCCAAATATCTCGTGCTTTGAAACTGTTGCTAAGCATGATAACCTGGCCAAATTCTAATTTGAAAATGATCTTCAAATCTTCATTTTCTTGGGTTTACTCTCAAAAGTCAAAGTCTAGTTGGGTCTTCCTCTAGTCAGAAGAAACGATTAAAATAACCAGAAAAACAATTTCATATTGTGTTATTAGTCATACTATGTTCATTTGGCCTCCAAAAATCCCATTACCTTTAGCTCACTTATCTTTAGGATGTAAAATGGTGGTGCTATACTCATTTTATATTTGAAGAAGCAGAGTCCTTTGCTGCCACATTTACTAATAAATGAATTGAGCTACAAATCGAAAATAAAGCCATTGCTGGTTCAACACTTGCCTAGCATTCTGGAGG